TTTTTTGTACTTCTTTTATCCCATAACAAAGTATCTATTTTTTCATTTTAGTCCGTCTCGTAACAAAGTATTCATTTTTTTTTTAGTAACTGTAGTATATTACACAAATGTCATTACCTTTGTATCACACATATTAATAAAGTTATATTAGTCATTTCTACTTTATTCCTATTACGTCCAAATATAATATTAATATTTGTAAAACTACATGCAAAAACCAAATGGATATTTAGTTATGAGACGGAGGGAGTAATAATTTTCTTTTACTTTTATAAGGAGTATTTTGATTTTTTTTTATTTTATATAAAATAGTTTGTATATTTTTTTTATTTTTTTATGACATAAAAATCGCAGTCGCTATCCGAAAAAGTGGGTAAAATTTTTTATTATTATTTTGCCTCATTCCTCGACTTCAAAAGGCATATTGTGAAACCATGGTGTGACATTTTTTCCTTGAGGTGAAGGTCTTAGAATTCGATTTGAAGTGGGTGAGGGTAAAAAAAAGAACATGTAGAAAAATAATTGAGCCCCAATTTTTATAAATAATTATAAATAAAAATAATATTTCTTCTGTCCAGGCTGTTATGTCCGTTTTACTGTAAACACAAGATGTATAATTAATAAATAATAAAAAATATATTAGTAAAAAAAATTATAAATTAAAATTAATATAACTAATTAATCCAATTAAAATTTAAAAAAAAATTATAAATTAAATAATTTAAAATAAAAGTAAAGTATATAATTCTTTTAAAAAAATTGAAATCGACAAAATAAATGAGACTGAGGGAGTATTTTTTTACATTTATATATTTTATTTATTATAGTTATTTATTCAAAAAAAATTAAAATATTTTATACTTATCTTAATACTATAATTAATATATATATTTTTTGAATAAAAATTAAGTATTTTTATGATATACTCTATTAAATAAAAATAAATATTTAATGTAATTTGATAATAGAATATCAAAACAAAACTTTGTTGAAGGAGGGACCCATAAATAAATTTTTGGAAGAAGTGTTTTACCTTGAAAATTTTAGAGGGTGAGAGGAAAAAAAAAACAGAAAAAAAAAAACTCCATGAATAAACACATTATGGAGGTTTGTTTCTTTTACTGCAAAATTTCTTACACATTTTTTTTAAAAAAAAGGTAAGCTGTTTTTTTTTTTTTTTTTTTTTGGTAACTGACCCCTTATCATTTTAGTCTCGTAAGTGGAGTATATCGCAAATTAGTTTCATAAGTGGAAAATTTTTGTTGTTTTAATCCTCCGGCGCCGGAGATGCCCACGTGGCTTGCTGGAAGCTACGTGTCCGCTAGGTGTCCCGTCAGGTCAGCGACACCTGGCAGACACGTGAATTTTTTTTTATTTTTTTATTTTTTTTAATTGGATCAAATAAAAAAATTATAAAAAAAACAAATAAAATTAAAAATAAATTTTAAAAAAATAAAAAAATAAAAAATAAAATCCACGTGTCCGCCAGATGTCGCTGACCTGGCGAACACGTGGCCTCCAACGAGCTACGCGGGCGTCTCCGGCGCCGGAGGACTAAAACAGCGAAATTTTTTCACTTATGAGACTAGTTTGCGACATACTCCACTTACGAGACTAAAATAATAAAGAGATCCAGTTACGGGACTGAAAAAACAATTAACCTTTTTAGAAATAAATATACTATGCACTTTTATTATTTTATATTATCTAAACAATTTTTTATACATCAAATAAGAAAATTTCTATAATAAAAAAAAAAAAAAAATTCAAACCAAAATACAAAACAAACGTAGGTTGAATGTTTCTTTATATAAATTTGTTAATTAGACTTTATTTGTTCATGAAATTTGAATTTTGAATTATAAAATTTTAAATTAAAATAATATTTAAATCTGAAATTAAGTTTAGAATAATATAAAAAATTATACATTTTATTTGATATTTTAGTGGAATTCTTTTTAATAAATAATAAAAAAATTGAGTAAAAATCTACAAATAATCAAAATTGTATAGGTTTTTTTTTTGGGCTTTTTTTTATCTTTGAATTCTACTTTAAACAATAATTTATTTAACTTGATATTTTATAAGATAAAAAATATCATATTTTATTCAAATTATAGAAACTGAATGCTAAAAATCCAAAGAAAAAGGAAAAAACTTTTAAAAAAGAAAAAGGCCTCATGTGGGTGAATGTGCATTACAATAATATTATTTTTATCCATAAAAATTATGTTTGTTTGGTTAGTTATGATAATTAAAAACAATAGAATATTAATATAAAAATAAAGTAGATAAAATAGGGGATTATGAAAAAAGGGTAATGAGATAAATAAGAAAATAATGATAAATTAATTATTATTTAAATATTAAAATATAGATAATAAAATTATAGATAGTTAGCATAAATTAGTCTATAGTAAAAAATAATATTCCCTCTGTAATAAAATTTTGTATTCACAATTTAAAAAAGAAAAAAATTAATTTTCTACAAGGTTTGTTTGTTTAGTGTTTTGAGTTGATTTTTTTACGTGAGCTATTAAAAATTGTGTCGTTAATATAAAAAAAATAATAATTTATGTTAAATGTTAGTTTTTGTGAAAGAATAAAATATATATTATTGAAAATTGTCTCGGAAAAAAGAATATTGGGCAAACAAATCTTTTATTTATATTTATTTTATTTTATTTTTATTATACATATGTATTTTAAAAAAAATAATAACAATATTTTAATGATTAATTAAAATTATATTCTAATTAAGAAATAATTTATTACTCTTTTTTTAAAAAAATATTAAAATTTTTAATTAATAAAAATACTTGGGAGATAATCTTTTTTTAAAAAAAAAAAACTTTGTGGCATATCTCTCATGGGATGCAAAGATATTTTTCCAAATTTTACTATTTAAATTTTGCTTTTTTAAAAAAAAAAAAAATTATTCTCACAAAATATCCAATCAAACTTTATTTTAATATCAAATTCAAACCAATTTATTTCAAATTCAACCAGAAAAAATAGTTACTTTGTAATTAGACGTCCTAAAATAGAAATATGCATACTTTGTAACTGGACGGAGGGAATATATTTTTATTCAAAAATACATATTTCTTTTTAATTACAAATAGTGTAAAATATAGAATACTCTCCAAATTTAAATACTTTCTCGATTCCGTCACATATGACTTTTTTTTTTTAAATCTCACAAAAGATGATTCATTTGTATCTTAGTAAATTAAGCAATCTTAAAATCTTCAACCCAGTGCATTTATGCAGTGATTCGGTAAAAATGGAAGGGTTGGGTTCCGACCCAGTTTCATTTCCTCTCTTATTTTTGGGATAGCTGCAGTGTTAAGGTTCATTTTATTTTATTTTATTTTTTTAATAATTATACTATCTATATAACATTACAAATACACTTTCAATTTATAATATATTACACAAATATTATTACATTTATTTCTTATAATATTAATAAGGGTACTTTAGTCTTTTTATATTTATTTTTACTATATTTCAATATAATACTAATATTTCTAAAATTTTGTGGAAAAATAAATAAATATATAGATATGGAACAGAGGGAGTATAATTTTATAAATAAAATATGAATTATATAGGGTGTGTTTACTTTGTGTGATTTGATTTTAAATTTTACTATTTCAATTTTTTTCCCGAAAAATATCAAATCAAATACTCATTTTTTTTATTTATTGTATTACATTAAAATTAAATTTTACATTCAAAACATCACATCAACACATATTTATATCACATGGAATAACTATTTCAATTTTAAATTTTACCATTTAAAACCAAAATTCAAAACCAAATCTCTCAAGTAAACACATTCATATATTTTAGACATAAAAATAATTTTAATTATAATTAAAATAACTAATTAGTCTAATTAAAAATGAAAAAATTATAAAACGAGATTAAAATGTACTCCCTCCGTCCAGGAAAGATGTCTTATTGAGAGTGGGTACGAAAATTAAAGGTTAATAGTATTTAATTGGAAGCAGGTACAAAGGAGAAGGTAAAAGACTAAAACACCATTACTTTTTGAATGATTTTAAAAAATATATTAGAATAATCAATTAGGAGTAGTTTGAAAAAATAAGAATAATTTTGTTATAAAATGTGGACCACGGTTACTAAATAATGAAACAATACAATTGTTTTGGGACAGAGATAAATGTAAAAACAAGACAACTCTATTGGGACGGAAGAAGCATAATTTTTTTTTTAAAGAAAATTACAAAATTAGTGGGAAGAAAGAATTATAATAAATTAGTAAATTCATTGGAACAGAATGTTGTGTTTATTTTGTAAAATAGTTTGAAATATATATATTTTTTAATATAAAATAAAGAAAAAATATGTAAATGATATAAAAATAATTAATATGTATAATATAATATTCTCTCTATCCCATCACAATTGATATTATTTTTTTTTGTTTGTCACAAAAAACTTATTAAATCAAAATATATTTAACAAATATAAATCAACTTAATTAACTACATAAAATAAATATTTCTACCTCTCTCTTAAAAAAAATAAATATTTTTATTTATATTTAAAATTATGCATCTTTTATAAAATTGATTTATGTCAATTATAAATATACAAAAATATTTTTTTTATTTACTTATATTATAGAAAATTTTATGATATTCATATTGCATATATTTTTTAATTGCTATATAATTTTTAAATATTTAAATATATATTTTAATTTTTTTAATTATATATATTAAATTTATTTTAAAATTATAAATATTATTAATTATAAAAAATAATATAATAAAATCATAATTAATTATTATTAACTAATTAAATATTCTAATTTTAAATAATGTGTTCTTAATAAAAAAGGATTTAAATCCGAGGGACGGATGAAATATATATTACTAATATTTTTTAAAAACAAAAATGTATAAAATAATATATATAAAGAAAACAAACGCGAAATCTTTGGCAGTGCTACACACCAGAAATTCAAAACCTCGAATTGGGTGGAAACTCCATTAGCAGAGACCACACCAGTACCTCTACTGCTACTGCTTCTATCGCCATTAATTCTCCAAACTTTATTACGAATTCTTTCTTTATCAGAAGGGAAGGGGAAGACGGAGGGGGAGATTCGATTTCGATCGAGGTTTCTCTCTCAATCCATAACTGCACAATTCATCTTCACGCACTTCAAAGATCTTCTGCTCTGCTGTTATCCCCATCCCATCCCCTTCACCCATTACAATCAATCAGATCTCCATCAAATATCCAATCCCAATCGCTTTTTTTCGATCGGGACACTGTTCGGTTCAATTTCTCGTTGCATTGCTTCGATGGCGACCCGAGGAATTTAGGATTGACGGCGACTGAATTAATTCTTAATGGCTTCCGAGAAAAAATCGACTTCTTCTAAAACTTCCCAGAGCAGGGAGTCGAGAATTGCAGGCGAGTTTTTGTCTATTTGCTGCTAATTTTGACTATCCTGACTGGTTTCTGTACTCATTATTGGTTCTTCCTTGTGGGAAATACTTGTGCAAGCTTCATACCTTACTTTGTTGTCTGTTTCGTGAATTTTTTTTCCCATTTTTTTTTTGTTGAATTACTGTGCTGTTTATATGATTTTTAGCTATTTGGTGAATAAGCTGCAGACATTGATGTTGAATGAAAGCGAGATTAGGTCAAATTTATGAGCGGCCTTCTTAAGGAAGACAATCGATTATTATTCAGGGGATTTTGTTGAAAATGCATCGAATGTTACTTGAGGAACTGTTTGAAGATTAGATTGTAGCTAAATTGACTGATGCTGTAATTTGAGATGCTAATTTGTAGAGCCTTCATGTTATTCAAACGATTTGGTTTTAAGATTGAGAATAGTAGAAAATTCAAATTGAAATTGTAATTGTGATTTTGATAGCCCTTTGTCTTGATATTTCGAATGAAAAATTAGTTTTAGGATTGAGAATAGTAGAAAATTCAAATTGAAATTGCAATTGTGATTTTGATACCCTTTATCGCGATATTTTGAATGAAAATTTAGTTTTCGGATTGAGGATAGTAGAAAATTCAAATTGAAATTGTAATTGTGATTTTGATAGCCCTTTGTTGTTATATTTCTAATGAAAAATTAGTTTTCGATGAAATAATTTAAATGAAAATAGGGGTTTGATTTGATGCTTAAAGAAAGGTAATGAATAGTGCTCAACTAGATCCAAACCTTAAACTAACTGATTTTGCTATCTGAATTCTTGATATTGTTTGGAGTGACTCTTATCGAGTGTATCGAATGAACTAATGTGGGATATTGTATTAAATGTTCCATATTATTGGTTCTATTTCAGTTTTTTTGTTTTTTCCGGCTCATTTTGGCGTCTCGGTTTCGAAAGCGAAACAATGGTGCCTTTTATGTAGTTTGAAACTATTCAATTCATTATAAGACTAACCTCCAAAACTTGCACGCTCGAGGAATTTCAAGCTTACCAGTTGCTATTTTATCTAGGGTGTGACTGGTTGAGGGTTTGGATTTTAGTTGAAATTTGAATAGCAAAAAAATTGAATTGAAATAGTAGTACGATGTAATATAAATAATTGTTAGATCTGATATTTTGACTATAAAATTATTTTTTAGTATAATATAAAAAATAAAAAATAGGTATTTGATTCGATTTTCTTAGAAAAAGAATTGGTGAATAGTAAAAATCTGAGGAAATCTTCTAAACAAACACACCCCAATTGATCCGTAAGATTTTCGAGGCAAGCTCGAGCTACGCACATTTTTCTAAAGTCGAAAGTATTTGCATTGTATGTGTGTATTAATTCTCCCATTTGATACTTTTAACATCATTGGCTTGTTCTAAATGGAGAAATTTTATTAATTGATCGGTAAGATTTTGGAGGTAAGCTTTTCCTAAAGTTGAAAGTATTTGCATCGTATATATGTATTCTCCCGATTCATACTTTTAGCATCATTGGTTTGTTCGGTATTGAGAAGATCGTGACAAAGGAGTTTACAATGTAGTTTGTACGTAGTAATTTGATTGTTATTATTATGGTTCGGTAATTTTTTTGTACTTTTGCAGGACTTCGCGTTAAGCACCAACAAGATTTAGAGAATTTGAGTCTGACCTCACAGCCCTTCAAGACGCTAAAGTTTTTCACATTTGCCGTTGGACAATATTTGAAAAGATTGTTAGCATATCTTTTCTCACTCCATGTTTGGCTTGTGCTGTTTTGTGTGGCCATTGGTATCTTCGGGATTATGCTTGCGACCTTTGATGGCCCTCACAGGAAGGTAATTGATACAGTGTATTTGATAATTGTTTTTAAGTTGAAGAGTTTGGCGTGGGATAAATGAAATTGCAATAAAAAATTTATTTTGCTCGATAGAGAGAAGATTACTTGTTTATACATTGAGGCCTTGTTTACCATAACAGTCTAATCTTTTTGGCACAATCATTATATTAATTTATCCTCGATACGCCAAAGTGTAGTTTACTCTAATAGACGTATTGTTTTTGTAATACTTTTTACTCTTTTTGCATTGTAACATTTGCCGTGATTTTAATCGCAGCACGTCGAGGAAGTTCTTTCATATACACATTTCGGATTGTGGTGGATTGCACTCGGCGTTGCATCCTCTATAGGTCTTGGTAAGCAATACCACAAATCCTATTTTTGTCAATTCGTCGCGGACATTATGTGATATGATGAACGCGCGCTTTCACTACTTCCGAAACAATACAATCTAAAACTCATTTGTTTTATTCTCCACGTAGGTTCGGGATTGCACACCTTTGTTCTTTATCTTGGACCTCACATCGCATTCTTCACCATAAAAGCCGTGCGATGTGGTCGAGTCGACATCAAAAGTGCTCTATACGATACAATACAATTGAAAAGAACCCCATCTTGGCTCGACAAGGATTGTGCTGAATTTGGGCCTCCGATTTTTCCATCTTCGGATGGCGTTAGTGTTCCCCTCAGTAGCATATTACCCCAAGTCCAGTTGGAGGCCATGTTATGGGGTCTCGGAACTGCGCTCGGCGAACTTCCTCCCTATTTTATTTCAAGGGCAGGTGCGCATAACATATCGAATAATCCAAACATTGCAATGGTTTTTTTTATCTAAAAGAAGATGCACTTTCTAAACCTTTACATTTCGATGCCTCTTAATGCAGCGAGCCTGTCGGGTGGTAAAGTGGAAGCCATGGAAGATTTAGACGCTTCCTCATCGAAAGACAGCGGATTTATATCTGCCCGTCTGCATAAAATTAAGCTCTGGTTCCTATCGCACACTCAGTATTTGAATTTCTTTATGATTTTAGTTCTCGCTTCGGTCAGTTCCTCGTCTTCATGTTCTTGACTATTGTTCTCTTCTCAATTTTCGTAATCTTTTATTCGATTCTTGCTACCATTTACATCTCGTGTCGGTATAAATTGCAGGTGCCGAATCCTTTATTCGACCTTGCCGGCATTATGTGTGGACAGTTCGGGATTCCTTTCTGGAAGTTCTTTACGGCAACAATGATAGGGAAGTCGATAATCAAGACTCACTTCCAGGTTAGCCGATCGAAAAAAATATAAATAGATGTTGATGTGATGTTTTAAATGTAAAATAAATTTGTAGTATATTATAAAATTTAAAAAAAATAAATAATTGTTTGATATGATATTTTTCAAAAAAAAAGAGAATCTTAATACTTCCTCCGTCTCTTAAGTAGGTATCCGTTTTGCTTTTTGTACTAAGTTTAAAATATATTAGTATTATATTGAGTAGAAATAAAGGTAATGATATTTGGATAATATATTTATCCTAAGTATGTAATGTTAGGTACACAGTGCAGTTACTTGAAAAAAAATAAATAAATAAATAAATTAATTAATTAAATTGATACTTTGTAAAACCCACAAAAGAACACAACATTGGCTTTCGCCTTGAATTTGAGATATACTATATTATATGCTATGTTCGTAGATCCTTCTCATTAATATAATTTTGCAGACAGCGTTCGTCATTTCCATTTTCAACAACCAACTCCTTCACTGGATCGAGACTGAGCTAATTCGCGCGCTAAGCTTTCTCCCCGGCGTTGATGCAATATTGCCGAACGTTATCTCGAAGCTTAATGCGTTGAAGGACAAGTACATGGCTACGAATCCTGACGTTCCAGCCGAGGCCAAGGTGCGTCGATATCCATTTTTTGTAATCGATGTGAGCTCGTCCCTTGCTTACGATTATTTGATATTTATTCGATGCAGGGGCTTTCGCTTGCGTTCATTTGGAATACCGTCGTTTGGGTCGTGTTGGTGAATTTTTTCGTCAAGATCGTGAATTCGACTGCGCAGCAGTATCTTAAGGAGATGCAGGACGAGGAAATGAAGAACACGTCGTCGTTCGACATGGAGGATAGGTTTGGCTCGATGAAGTCCGATTGAGATCGAGTTTCTTGTACAGGAAGAGCAGCAGATTGTTCGAATCCGACCGGGGATTTGGTCGATGTTCTGGGCAGTAATATGGTACGATGAAATTTCAGTGATTCTTGTTTTCTTTTAACTGCATCTACAATGAATGTTGTTTTGTTCGAAATAGTGAGTTTCGATTGATTTATTTGACCATTGGCTCAGTCACCCAGATTTTGAATTTGAGAGGCGCTATAAACGTAATCAACATATATTTTTATTTTTGAGTAAATTATTTTTTTTAGTTCCGTAATTGAATCCCTTTTATCATTTTAGTTCCGTAAGTGGAGCCTGTCGTAAACTAGTCCTATAAGTGAAAAATTTTCGTTGTTTTAGTCATCCGGCGCTGGAGACGCACCTGTGGCTCGCCGGAGGTGACGTGTACGTCAGGTGTCTCGCCAGGTCAGTGATACCTGGCGGACACGTGGATTTTTTTTTTAATTTTTTTTAAATTCGACCAAATAAAAAAAAATACAAATAAAATTAAAAATAAGTTTTAAAAACATGAAAAAAAATTAAAAAAATCCACGTGTCCGCCAGGTCAGCGACACTTGGCGTCACCTCCGGCGAGCCACGCGGGCTCTCCGGCGGCGGAGGACTAAAATAACGAAAATTTTTCACTAATTGGACTAGTTTGCTACAGGCTCCACTTACGGGACTAAAATGATAAGGGATCTAGTTATCGGACTAAAAAAAACAGTTTATCCTATATTTTTAAATACTTCTGTATCATTCAAATTTATTTATTTTTTGTCATCTAAATTTATTTCTGTTTTTTCTTCTTTAAGTAAAAAAATTATTTGCTTCGTCCAGCTCTAAGGGTTTCATTTATCTTTTATAACATTGCATTTAACATTAAAAATATTTTTATATTTGTGTAATGTTTTACATAAATATCATTATAATAGAATTACAAGATACTAATAAGAAGTACTTTTATCATTTTTTCTTATTTTTTACCATATTTTCATATAATAATTAATATTCAAATATCAAATACGCAAAAAATAAATGAGACTTTTAGAACAAAATGAAAGTAATATTATTTTTTTTAAAAAAAAAATAAAAATTTACTTATTTTTGTTAAAATTATATCCCGTCAAATAAACATATATCGCATTAGTTAAAGCTGTCGACAGAATCGACCATCGTATTTGTTCGGCGATTCATTGATAGACGGACTTTGTTGACTTGAAGACTTGTTTTTTTTTTTTTGTCAAATAATTATTACATACTCTATAGCTTACTTATAATAAAAAAAAAAATTAAAAAATATAAATTTTAAAACATAATTAAAATATATAATTATATTTTTTCCGTTTCATTTTAATTAGTTTTCTTTTTTTTTTCCTATTTTTATTTAAAATAAAATTTATTAATCTATTCATACTTTAGATTATAAATCACTTTAATTAACCTAATAAGATATAATATAATATAACTCATTTAAAACCTATTTATTTATATCTCTCCTTCATAAATAAATATTTTATCTAGATTTAAAATTTCTACTATTTTATAAAATTAATTTTGTCTTAATTATAAATAAATATATTTTGTTGTTTATTTGTATTATTTAAAATTTTTTTCTTTACAAAATGATATTTATATTGCATATTTTTACTTGATATATAATATACTCTCCGTCTCATAACAAAGTATCTATTTTTTCATTTTAGTCAATATATCCATTTTTTTTTCGTAATTGTACTATCTACCTAATATTACAAATACACTTACAAATTATAATATATTACACAAATGTCATTACCTTTATATCACGCAATACTAATAAGGTTATTTTAGTCATTTATATTTTATTCCTATTACATCTCAATATAATATTAATATTTCTAAAACTTCATCTAAAAAACAAATTGATACATAGTTATAAGACGAAAAGAGTATTTAAAATATATTAACACATATTTTAAATTTATTTTAATCATATATATTAAACTATCAATAATATTACTCATATTAAAATATAATAAAATAATATCATAATTTAATATTATTAACTAATTAAATAAATCAATTAATTTGAGACGGAGAAAGTGTTTCCATTAAAAAAAAACAAATGATAGGAGACATATAGAAATAGAAAGAGTAAACCAAGTAGGCTAAATTGCACAAAATGCTATCTGTGTTTCATGAAAATGCACCAAATTTTTTATACTTAACCGGGTCAAACTTCCTCGTAGTTTCATAAACTCTGCGTCTAACCCGTTAGTGGTCCTTATTTAGAGTTATTTGACATAAATGCATCCAAACTGCGAATAAATTTTAGAATTTCAATTTCTAAACCACTAAAATTACAAATACAGCACATTCTTTTTTTTTTATATTTATTCTCAAAAAATAATAAATATACTAAAAAATAATTTTTATCAGGTTTTAAGAGTTTAGTTTTATTGTTTTTTTAGGCTAAATATAAGAAAAATAAATATATTTATAATTTTAAAGGTTTAGAAATTAAGATTCTAAAATTTATTCATAGTTGGGCGCATTTAAGTCAAATACCGTTAAATAAGGACCATCGATGGGGTTAGACGCAGAGATTATGAAACCACCAAAAGTGTTTGACGCAGTTTTAAAAGTATGAGAATTTAGTGCAATATTGTGAAATCACATGTGAATTTTGTGCAATTTAATTTACCAAATAATACAAAATAGACTTTGAATTTAATTGGTTTCAAGAAGAAATGTAGATAGACTATAGTATTGTCTTCTTCGCGCATTCACTCGTTAAAGGTTTGTTTAGATAGGAGTTTTTAGAAGTTTGAAAAATTAGTACTCTTTTCGTCTTAAAACAATAGTACTGTTTACTATTTGTTTGTCATAATTTCACTTCTATAAATAATCATATCACTGTAAAATTACTCTTACTTTTTTATTATTATTACACAATTGCTATTATTTTTTATAGTAATACACTCACAATGGGCAAAAAAGTCTTTTATCCGTACTTTTTACTCACTATCAATATAATATAAATATTTCTCAAATCTCGAGCCAAATACAACCCAGACTATAGTTCTAGAATTGAGGGAGTATCTAATTTGATATTTTATAAAAGAAAAAATATATTTGATATAATATTTTTTAAAATATAAATAGTGTTAAACGAGTGAAAATATGCAATATAATAGCGAGTAAATCATTAAATGCAAAAGACGAAGGATAGGACAACATGAAAGGTCCGCCGTCAGATTCAGATCACGGATGAATCTCAGCCACACGATCCAGGCTCTGAATAACGTGGATCTTGTTACCTGTTCTGGACCTCCAATCCCGGGACTGCTTACAGAGTATAATGCGGACCAATTGTTGTCCACCGCCTCCAACAAAACAAGCCGGAGCCTGCCTACTAGTGTGGACTTTTTGTACTGCCGTACTGCCACGTCATCTATAATCCGACGGCCATAAAGTGCTGCCGTCAATCTGCCCAACTAATTCTCTACCGTCAGATTTAGATCCCAAAGCCACATATTTAAATGCAAAGTCCATGAGGGGCAGGATGGTCATTTCAGACAGGTACACTTGCATTCAAGTAACTCATCCTTTCCAATAATATACCCTTATTATACTATAAATACAAAATTTTATGTAAAAGATAATTAAAACATGTATTATTAAAAATAATTATTATCTAATAAAAATAATTATAAATTAAAATCAATATAATTTAATAATATAATTAAGATTAAAAAATTATAAATTATAAAATTTAAAATTTAAAATATAATTAAAATATAGAATCGTACTTCAATATATATATATAATACGAATCGAAATAGAAAACATGAACATTTTATTTCGAACAGAGTATATTTTAGCTAAATTTTCATATTTACAGTAATATGAACAATTTAACCAAGGCGAAATGAGTATTTTCTATCTTACTTATATAATTTCCTATATTTCATATAAAATATACTCACTCCGTCCCAAAACTATAGTCTGAGTTGTGTTTGGTACGAGATTTAAGACATATTGATATTAGATTAGTAGTAGGTAAAAAGTACAAGTAAAAAACTTTTCTACCATTGTGAGTATATTAGTGTAAAAAATAGTGGCACCGTCCCAATACAATAGTCTTGTTTACCATTTTTGTCCGTCTCAAAATAATAGTCTTATTTCCATAAATAATCATATAACTATAAAATTACCCTTAATTTTTCATTATTATTACACAATTGTCACTACTTTTACACTAATACTCACAAGAGTAAAAAAGTTATTTATCATTATTTTTTACCGACTACTAATATAATATCAATAGTTCTTAAATTTCGTGCCCAACATAATAAAATTATAATTTTGGGACGGAGGGAGTATATCTTAGTCTAAAACACTAAGGGTGTGTTCGTTTGATGGATTTGGATAAAATTCCACTATTCATCCAAAATTTTTCCCCCAAAAATATCAAATCAAACACCTATTTTTCATTTTTTATATTATACTAAAAATCAATTTTACATTCAAAACATCACATCATCACCTATTTATATCACATCATACAACTATTCAAATTCAAAATTTTTACTATTCAAATCCCAACTCAAAATCCAAACCCCCGAACAAACACACCCTAAATAAATAAACTCCAATTCTTTTTTTTTTAAAAAAATTATTATTATTATTTGAACTATATATTTTTTGAAAAAAATTTATTATTTTAATATAAATTCAAATTAAAATTTTATGCGTTATCCAAAATCCCAATAATTGAAACTGTGCCAATTAGTGCCCTACATCTTCTTGGCTACTACTTTGGATTATATTCTTTTAATATTTAAAGTTTGTGAGATTTTTATCAGTAATTATTAAGAATTGTAAAAAATAATTTTGAAAGTATGATGTTATTTGAATTAATTAATTTTTCAAATATCTTACAAATAATAATATATTTTTATTAAAAATATATATGTATTTAAAAAAAAAAAAAAAACACTCATTCATTCCCTACCCCTTAAATTTAAATTAACGTAACTAATCCTAGTGCACACGTCTCGATATAAATTAAAACATGTTTGGTCGATAATAAATTTAAATATTATTAATATTATTTCTATATTATTTCTATATTTTATATAAAAAAATATCACTTTAAATTATTTTATAAAACACAGTGTATGTTTAGAGAAACGTAAAAAGTTAAATTTGTATTTAATTGGAAGTATTTTTCTATTCATATTTTTGATTCTCTTAAAAAATACTATCTTCGTTTCACATACTGTGTCTGCTACACTGTAAATACGGTATTTTAAGAGGAGTGTAATTAATAGATAATTAAGAATGTATTAATGAAAATAATTATCCTATAATATAAATAATTATAAATTAAAATTAAAATAACTAATTAGTTTAATTAAAAAATAAAATTAAAAAATTTAAAATGAGATTAAAGTGTATAATCATTTTCCAAAAAATGAAAGTAACATGGTATGAGATTAAAGTGTGTAATATTTTCAAACATACTTCAATACTAATAAGAATTTTTTTGAAAAAATATTTATATTACAATACTATTTAAATCGAAATTTAAATTAATAACTTAACATAAATAAAAACCAAACTATTTTTTACTTTTGTACTTTCATTATATTCCACCGGTCTCGTATACTCCCTTCGTCTCCACTTTCTTTTCGGCATACAATTTAAGAAATATTATATTATATAGTTAATTAGTTTGATTAGTTGATGTAATTAAGTTTATTTTAAATATTTTTTATTTAATAAAATATTAGATTAAAAGTTTAAATATTTTTTATTTTAATTTTTAATATTGATTTTTTTTTTAATTTATTGAAATGATTTAAAAATAGTAATAATAATTGTATCTATTGTAAATCAATATACTCCCTCCGTCCCAAAAGAAGTCTCTTATTGAGAATTGTGGCACGAGAATTAAAAAATAATAGTATTTAATTGAAAGTGGGTATAAAGTAAAATGTAAATGACTAAAATGCCCTTACTTTTTGAAGAATTTTAAAGAGTATGTTAGAGTAATAATTAGGGATAGTACAGAAAAGTATGAATAATTTTGTTATAAAGTGGGGACTACAACTACTAAATAAGAAAACAAGACAATTGTTTTAGTACGGACGAAAATGGAAAAACAAGACAAATCTTTTGAGACGGAGGAAGTATGTAATTAGATAAAAAAATAATAATAATAATAATTTTTTTAATAATTTAAATGTAATTAATACAATAAAAAATGTATGATTTTGCTCTTTCTTAAATTTTTGCCAACATGTTTGCTAAAAAAGTTAATATATTACACATATTCATTATTTTTATATTCCGTACACAATTTCTTATACTTAACATAAAAAATTTTCTGTTCAACAATTTCACAAACAAACACATCTTACATAAAAACAATTTTACATAAAAAAATACATAAAATTTTTCGAATTGGATTGTTGTTAGAAATAGTTCGTTAGAACACACTAAATGTAATGCCACATTGTATACAAGTATCAAAGTTTTTGGTATGATATTTTACGGTACCAATGCAATATAAATATTTTCGTATACCGAATTTTCGAATAGAAATATTGAATTGTGTAAATAACATGCATACTCATACAAAATTTTTTTAAATTTTCGGTACGATATGCTTTTTTTGTATAATAACGATATACATGATATTCTCAATTTATATAGATAATAAAAAAAATCAATATTTTTGTATATACCGAATATTCGATATAATATCGATATTTTTTTAATAATCTAAAAAATTTAGTACGGTGTATAGTATAGTTCGATATACTTTCCCAAATTATCTCTAATTGAATTGTATACACGGTATTAGAATATAATATTTTACGTTAAAATACCAAAATTAAAAATAATTTTATAATTTTGCATAATAAATAAATTATTATTTTTTTAATTTTTTTGAATAAAGAAAAAAAATTTCAAAATCAAATCTCATTTTTATTAACTTTTCGGCCATAATATTTCAAATTAAACATCAATTTTTTATATTACAATATAAATTAATTTAAAAAAATTTAAAATTAGATTAATACTTATTTATATCATATTAAATATTTATTTTATTTTTATTATTCAAAATTTTAGCCCAATTTATAAATTTACAACTAAACAAATAATAAAATTAAATATATTAGTAAGTTAATAGAATATGGTTAAGTTTGTTAATTATAAATATTAGTTATTTATTATTACTATAATAGGAGAGTAGACTAATTTTGTGGGAATGATGAAGTATTATGTTAAAAAAGAATTAGACATTTTAATTATATTTTACATTTTATAATTTATAATTTAAATTATACTAATTAATTATTTTAATTTTAACATATAATTATTGATATTATACTATAATTAATTATACTAATATATTTTTAATTATTTATTAATCATATTATTTTTAAATTTTTGTATCTACAGTAATCCTGTAACATTATATACGAGGCCGATGAATACTCTTTTTCAATTAATTGTATTATTATTTAATTTTCACAATTTATTTTTTGAGTTTGTTTGTTTAGTGTTTTAATTTGAAGAATGTATTTTTTTTATTTTTTTTAATGTAAAATATAGTGAATAGTTGATAGTATAAAAAAAATAATATTTTAAACTAAATATTGACTTTTATAAAAAAAATAAAATATATTGTCTTCGTCTCTTAGTAAATTTTTTATTTGATTTTTGCAAGTAAATTAAAGTAATTTGTATTTTATAAATATATAATATAATAAAGTAATGTAATATTAATTGTATTATTGACAATTAAAGTAAAAGTAATGTAAAAAATAAAAAGTAGAAATATTTTGATTTTTAGTTTTATAGTTACTTTTAACTAAAAAAAAAAACAAAAAATTTTGACTTGGACCAATTAAAATAGAAATATAAAAAATTTTGCTTTGATGGAGGGAATATATTAAAAATCAAGTCGAAAAGTAAATCTTGAGCAAACAAACCCTTATTTTTGCTCCTTTTATTTTAAATAATTTAAATATATTACCATAAATACAAAAAATTAGATAAAATATTATTATATATAATTAAAAATATATTAATAAAAATAATTATAAATTAAAATTAAAATAATTAAATAATTTAATTGAAATTTTAAAAAAATTATAAATTATATTTTAAAAAGTAAATCAAATAGACTAAATGGAAATAAAAAATATAAATAAATGATGTGAAACGATGATAATTACATTATATTTGTGTGCCGGTAAGATTTTGATTTTTGTTTTAGTTTTAAATAATAAAATTTTGAATTAAAATAATTATTTAATGTGATATAAATATGTATAATGTGATATTTATAAAATTAAATTTTAATGTAATAAAATAAAATAAAGTAAAAAGTCTTTTGTCAAGCTCAAGCACGTGATTGAATAATACAAGCGACAGGTTTAAGCGCCTTGAAGACTTGAAGTGAATATTTATTCCTACGGTTTGTTATACTTCTTTTGTAAGCATACGTACACAACTGACACGTGTCGGTGCTCTCTTATTTCAGCGTATCGCTTTTATTGAGCGGTGACTACTGCCACGTTGGCAAATGAGGTTTGGACCGTCGGATGAACCGCAAAATGGACGGTCCAGATCTATTTGTATGATGACAAGGCAAGCGCTTCAGAGACTTCCACGAGAGCTTTTCAGATGTGAAAGTGTATAATAATAATAATAATAAAAAATTAAATATCATAACCCCAATGGCTGATGGGGGGATGAGATTGAGGAGAAGGCTGAGCTGAACTCTGAGAGAGAGAGAGAGAAAAGACAAGCGACATTTGGGGGAGCTGAAATTTAGGGATTCTGCTCAGGACTTTTTGATTTGCGGAAGATTTTTGTGTTATATTCGCCGGAGTTGTGTTGATTTTGCTGTTTCCGGCGGGATGCGTTTCCATTTCTGTGTAAATTATGCCGGAATCAGTGTCTGATGATACGCATCGAATATCTTAATACAAATCGGAGGAAAGCTATTGATGAAGACGAATAGAGAGGCGAAGACAGGTTCTGCTCTCGGTTCTAATGGTGGCCACAGAAGAAGGCAGAGAGCAAGCTGCTTCAGAGATTCTTCGGGTGAATTAGAGATTCTGTGTTTGCACAGATCTGGATTTGTTGATTTTTTTTGAGTCTGGAAACTTTTTTCTGTTCACATTTACTGTTCGCTAATCGGTTTGTTGTTTTGCAGTTAAAGGCGGCGTGGTGGAGTTGCAGGAATCTGTAAATCTGAAGGAGAAATCGAAGAAATATCGTAATCGAGAGAGGATGAAGACGAGTGGAGTCAAGAGGAGAAGCGGTAAGAGATTGGCGAGCAATAACAAGGATTCTGGAGGAGACGAGTCCTCAGAGGAGAGTGTTAACGATGAAGACGAAGAGACCTCCGCCGTGACCAACGGCGGCGTCAGGTTGTTGCCTGGTCCGATTTCTGATCGCCGCCATCACCACAACCACAGCATTAGTCTTAGTAATAGTAATAACAGTATTATCACCAATAATCACCTTCAACATGTGAAAACCTTTCCTCCTGGTTCCTCTTCCTCCTCCTCTTCCTCTAAGGTTTTCAGAACATCTCCTGTTTGGAAGTCCGGTGACGACATGATCAATGTTCCGAGGAAAGCTCGCTCTGGTAAAAAAAAAAAAAAGATGCAAATCCTTTTTGATTGATTGATCGATTGTGTTGTTCTGGTATTGTTCTTATTCATTTGATTGTTTCAGTATCCAGCAAGAGGCCACGGCATCGGATTTCGAGCTGCGTTAATAACAAGAAAGGGATTGGAGCTGCTGGAGAAGAGAAGATTCTGTGGCGGCCGTTGAGGTCTCCAACAGCTGCTCATATGTCTCCATCTTCTTCCAATGCTTCCTTGAGAAAAAAGCTTGTTAGCATTCGAAATCCTCTTCTCCAACAATATCCAAATGTTTTTAATATAATTTTCCTCCATGATCCTCATTGACAGGCGTGTTTTCTGCAGAAATCCAGCAGGAACATTGCCGGTTCTAAGGTAAAACCACCCAAAGCATCATCAGAGCAGAGTTTTACAAATCCCGACAAGCTGGAAATTGAAATTGCTGAGGTGTTATACGGTTTGAGAACCCAATCACGAGTTCCAGTAAAGGAAGAAGATGGGAGAGCAGATAGTAGATCGAATTCAGACCCTAAATCAAAATCACTTGAAGCTGCTGGTGGTACATATTTACTGTGGTTCGTTGGATTTCTTTTTTCGAATTTGATTAAGGTTGGGGCTATATGTCACGTGTTTCTGTTTATTTCTTAATAGCAGCAAAGAGAAAGAGGCCAAGAGAAGTAATTGAGAAGATGAGCAACAATGCAAGTAGCCTAGAGATGGATCAGACTCCTCAGAGCGAGTTATCATCTCAAAATCTTGAGAAAAAGTCCAAAAACGGGGTTGAATTGGGAGACAAATCGGTCAATTTACAAGAACACCCACAGGAATTAAACCCGGAATGCGAAGATTTCATAGCCAAGGAAGATGAAAGCTTCCCTAAGGCTAAAGAATCTTCTGCAGTGAAGTGTGTGGGTGACATCTGCAGGGATTTGTCATCGACAGCAACGGCGGAAGATTCGACTGCTGCTGCAATGATAGAAGCGTGAGTCATTGAAATTCCATGTTTGAAATTTCTGTGCTTGGTAGGCAGAAAGTTTAATCTTTTCCCCATACATCATTGTCTTCAGGGATTCAATCATTTCTGAAGCAAAAGCTCCGGGAGAACAAAAGCTCAGTATAGATCCAATGGTGAGTTTTAAGTAAGATGCACTCAAAGTCCCTTAGTCAAAAATGCTGTTTATTCTATTCACATGGATGGAATTTCTTGTCCTACTTTTGGCAAACTCCATTTCAGGCTCCGGCCCCACATGGTCGGGAGATCACCGATAACAAAACGCCGACGGCCAGGGAGCTAGCTTCATCTAATATTGATGCTGCAGTATGTAGATGGGTTAATTTCATACCATTTAAATCATATTTTTCTTTTGCCCTACAAATTGATGTTAAGAGGGATTTTTTCTATACTGAATTGAGCAGGGCCTGAAAGCAGTCAAAAATGGAGAAGATCTAATTCCAAATAAACGTGGTACTTGGTTATGAAAACATAATCTTGATTGTTATAATTTAGGTTTGTTTTATGATTGTGGTTCTAAAAATTAATTTGGTATTTCTTGAAAATTAGGTCAATTAAAGAACACTGCCCATTTGGCCACACCCATGTCGGGTTGTCCTGGTGGCTTTCATTCAGTGGGGTACGTACGTACATACATGTTGCCTATACTGATTTGCTGTAAAGATCTTGAGTTTTGGCTAAAAAGATTTGGTTATTTTGATCAGAAACATGGCCCCATATGCATCAATGGATGCTGCTCCAGCACCACCTGCCCCAGTAAAATCTCTTTTTGAATTTGCTAAATTCTTGTCTTTTCTTGTTTATCTTTGCCTGTTTGATTCCTTTTCTGCTGCTGATTTTGTGCAAATGTGACAACTGCAGCCATTATATTCTCAATGTCGGTCGAAAAGGTGTGCTACACATGGCTACATTGCTCGGAATATACAGTGTCTCCAGCAATTTATGAAGATTAACAACCCCTTTTGGCAAGCAGCTGTTGGTTCTGCATCTCTTCTAGGCTTTAATTCAAATAATCTCAATCCCATACATCACACTCGTTCCGAAGAAAAGGGTCGCACCGTTAGCGGTAACAGCAAAGGTTTCCATACTGCATTGCCCCGAGCGGCACCTCCGAGTAATTTCATGGTACATTTTATTTACTGTTTTATTACTCTCTCCGTCCGGGCTTCTTTATAGAAGAAAGTGGAGTTAATAGAAAGTAAAATGAGGTATTATTATGAAAAATTTATGAAAGATTTCAATGAAAAGTTGAAAAAATTGAAAAAATGATAAAAGGAAAGAAGTAGTTGAGGGTATTTTGAAAATTTAGTTGAAAATTAAAATAAATGAAGAAAGAATGTAATAAAATTAGTGGTAACCGGTAATAATTAAATTTTTAGGATGGACTAAAAAGGAAAATGAGAAACTTATTTATTAGTAATGACGTAAATTTTTGCGGACGGAGGAGTAGTTAAAGTAATAAGATAAAATTATGACTTGATAAACTTATTTTTATCATAAATAGACCATGGATAAGTTTAGCGAATAGAAACGAAAGAAAAACTGACATAAGTATCCCGAACATAGGCAGTATTTAATATTTTAGCATATTTGTAATGGTGAATTTTGATGTTTACTTGTCGAACAGGGGTCTTCGACTATCGCCCCTAATAATCAGCATCAAGCCGTGTTTGCGCAGCCCAGTTCGATCAACTCCGGTTCGACTACAGCCGGAGTCGCTTTGTCGATCTCGTCAACAACGCCGATGAGGGCAATGAGCTACAACTACTCCGGCATGGCTATCGCCGACCGACACTACTTATCTTTCTTGCAGAATAATCCTTTCCATTTCAGAATGCCGCCGACCTTCAACGGCGCGCCAATTATTCCCGTCGTCAACGGTTCATTCTATCCTCCCCAGATGATCCAGCCGTTCATGCAATTTCCGAAAGCCAGCCAAAACGCTACCTTGTCGAGCAATTCCGCGCCGTCTCAAAATCTTTCGCCGAACCTGCCGAAACAGCCGCAAGATTTTGGCTCGATGGCTCGGCCGAGTGGAATTAATATTCGTAGCGACTCGACATCGATGGCGCAAAACCGCGCCGTCTTTCAAAGTTTCCCGGAGGCTAACCGACGTTACGTTAATATGGCAGGAAACGAGAGTTCCCGTCGAGTGCCAAGCCCTAACCTATCGACTAACGTTCAACCGACCTTTAAACTCAGACGTCTCGAGCAACACGTTGGAAATGCACCCAATGACGGCCGCGACAGGAACGGATTATCAGATCGATGCACCCAGCAGCAGCCCAAAATCTCGTCTTTGCCGTGGACTGTCGAGAATTCGATTCCCGTCCAGCCGGGTTTCCTGTCGTTCCCGAATGCGTATTCCCGTCAAGCGGGATTTGAAGTCGAGCGGAGACTGCCCAACCTGCGGCAAGCGGCGGTGTCGACTGCCGGACAGACGTCGTCGAAGGTGTTTTCGACGGCATCCGTCGCACCCGGCGGGTTCGGGTACCTTACGCCTAATCAAGTGAAACCTTCGGAGCAGAAACAACCTGCTGGGTAGCTTTGGATAATTTGCTGCTGTAGGAAACTATGTTATAACAACGTAGGAGGTAATGTAGAAATTATACATATGTATGTATATGTACGTATGTACGTACTTCTTGGGGGTAGGGGTGGGGGTAGGGGTAGGGGTGGGGGTGGTTGTGATTAACTGGGAAAAAGGGGAGTTTTTGCTTAATGTAAGAATAGATTGACAAGAGGCAGGACAATCTAATCTACCAAGAAAATGTCAAAAAAAAAAAAAAAAAGGAGAAAAGAGAATTGTCGTTTATAATCTTGATAAATTTTTTGAAATTTTGATTTTTTTTTTGATAAAAAAAAATTATGTAGGTGATGTGATGTTATATAGAAAAAAAATAAGCATTTGTTTTCATTTCTGTCCATCCCAAGTAATTTGTCTTTTTCTTTTTGGAAATATAAATATATATTTACTCACATTTTAAATTTCATAATTTATAATTTTTTTTAATCTTAATTATATTATTTAATATTTTAATTTATAATTATTTTTATTATTATTATATTATAATTATTTTTACTAATACATTTCTTAATTACTTACTAATTATATTTAACTTAAATTCTCGTGTCTACAAACAATATATCTGAGACCAAGGAGTAAAATCTTTTTAACTATAAGTAAATTTGTGATCATGTCTAAGTGCGTATGTGCAATATTTGAATGAAGAGTGTTGATTTAACCCGTTAGCACATATATAGAAGGCCGATCATGTATTTTTTATTTTTTATTTTTTTGTAGTTGTAGCACAATAATTTATTGTATCATATAAAAATATATGCTATGTAAATTATATATTGTATTTTTTTTTGTAGGAGGGTGTTTGACAAATACTTTTTTGAATAGCTTTTAGCTGTTTGAGTAATTAAAAAACTAATTTAGGTGTTTGGTAAATTAAAAAGTTTATTGGCCCAAAAAAAACTAATTTGTGAAAACTATATGATCCAACGTTTTGGAAGAACTTTTTCTATTTTATTTTATTTATTTCTTATTTACCCTTAAAATTTTATTATTTATTTCAGCATACATATAAATATATTTTCTACTGGAGTAATTATAAATTATTTTAATATATTATTTATTAAATTATAATTTTATTTTTATAAATTTAAATTAATTAATTTTTATATATAATTAATTTTATTTGTAAACTGTATATATTTATTAAAATAAAATAAAAAATAAAACATAAATATTATTATTTTATCTTTATATTAAAATTAAATAAAATGGAATAAATTTATTAAAATTATAAATATAATAAATTAATCAATCATTAATATAATAAATATATATACAAAAATTTTATTACATTATATTTTACATCATTTTTAATAAAAAAATATTCATCTTTCTTAATAAAAACATATCCTATTATTTTTCTCACATCTAAAATTAATAAAAAAATATTTTAAAACACATTCGTAATTTCAAATAACTAATAACAAAAGTTTTAAAATTTTCAAAACTAAAAAAACACAATTTAAAAGTTTCAAAAGTTAAAATATAAATGTCGTCAATTGTCATTTTACATATAAACAGTTAATATCAAATAGTTATTTTATCAAACACTTTAATACAAACAACTAATTGAATCAGCTAGTCAAACCAACTAATTGAATCAACTAAACGCGCTAACAACTAAAAACTATCACCTGATTGCCAAACACACCCTAAATATATTTAATTGCTGAAATTAATATTAATACATTGTGCTATGTATATTATATTATGAGGTGTTGTCAGATATGCGCTATCTATTATCAATATATATATATATATATATATAGTACGGTACTGATTTGATTTAGTAAGCACAGAAAACTCTAAGTCTAAGTTGGTTTAACAAAACTGAAAAATGGACAAAACTGCAAATCTTAAGAGGAAAACATGATATTTTTCTATGATGACTGGATGTGTTCTAGAGATGGATTAATTAAGTGATCTGTGAGTCGGACATATAAAAACGACAATATAATGTCCAATGGGTCTCTTATGCAAGATCGAAAGGGTGTCCGAAAGATTTTGAATTTGTGTCCACATACTACATCAACTCGGCCATTGTTTTCCATTCCTTTGTTATATAGATTTGATGATAGTGTATTAGATATTTAAAACTAGTGACCATTTGGAGTAAGCTAGCTTGCATAGTTCAAGATTACTACGAAGAGATGACCCGTGGCAGAACCAGCGTCTGAATCTCGGGGGCTAAAATGTCAATAATTTATTTTAATATTTAATAGATAAATAATTAATAAATTTAAATACCTTCAATAAAATTTAACGTCATAAACTGAAAATATTTAAAAAGGGACAATTTATATCTTCGATATCCCATTATTGCTTCATAATGATATTGATTTATATCTTCACCAATTTCATTCTCAATGTAACACACTAAACAATCTGTCTTAAATCTATCTCATATCTCATTAAGTAGATCATTCTTAATATATATATATATTCTTTTTATTTTATCTGTTCGGATATGCACAAATACAAAAGGATATGACAAAGTAGTAAAGACCTGGAGAAATCCGTTGTAATTCATCATATTTTGTGAATATCCTTTCGGTCCGTGAAACTAAAAAAATTGATCTAAAACTTTTTGTTAAGATCCGAGGTTATTCTACAAGTGAAATTCACCGTCTTCTTCTTTTCCTCCTTTTTTTTTTTTTTTGGATCCATAAAAAGTAGTGAGGGTCTAATATTTCCTATTAGATCCGGACAAAATATGTTGAGATCAACGTATTACCATGAATATTTTGATATATTGTTAATATTCTATCTTTGTTATTTGGGATCATCAATATCTCGCCAGATTTGTTGATACTCCCTTCATCCCAGAACTATGTATTCATTTGCTTTTTGCACGGGGTTTTAAAAATATTAATATTATATTGGGATGTAATAGAAATAAAGTAGAAATGACTAAAATAACCTTATTAGTATTATGTGATATAAAAGTAATGACATTTGTGTAATATACTGTAAATTGTAAATGTATTTCTAATGTTAGGTAGATAGTACAATTACTAAAAAAAAAAAAAAATGGATACTTTGTTATGCGATGGACTAAAATGGAAAAATGGATAGTTTGTTATGGGACGGAGGGAGTATTTTGTTATTATTATGTGAATATTTGTTTATATTTTTTAATATTTTGTTGATTTGAATATTGTTTGTGATTATTTTTTAATACTTTTACCTTATTAATTTGTGAATATTATTGATGTACACATTTTCACTATATTGAAGGTATGATATCGAAGATAATAATGAAATTGAGGAAAATACATTTAAAATATAATACAATGTATACGAGTGCTAAATAACTATACATTTGATTAATGTATAACTCTATGTAGTACTTATTGTAAATGAGAAGTACCAATGTGGTGATTCCCTCAAAACAACTTCCTTGAAAACACCTTCTATGCGAATGTCGAACAAAAAATACGGAGAAATGTTTTGATTACCTTGCAACCTTTAATATCCACCGTTTGATTTAGAGGTTTGATCTATGCGGTTCATCACTTCTATATATAAGTAGCCTAGTTGCAAACTCACTGTCAATCTCTTCTTCCTTCTCTGTAACTTGGAATCTCTATCTTTCGTTTCACCCGATCTCTTTTTCTCATCCTTAATTTTGTTTTGTTTCACTCGACCTCTTTCTGTCATCTTTTATTTTTTGTTTTCTGGTGATCTTGTGGTTGTTTCTGGTGAACGATTTGTGAGAGGTTTTTGCTTTTGAAAAGTCCGGGACCCCATGCATGCGAGTGAATGACCGTGTGGTAGACTTTGTGAGTTTTTTTTTTTTTGGTGATTTTGTGGTTGTTTCTGGTGAACGACAGCAATAATTAAAAAAAAAATTTACTAATACATGTGACTTACAACATAGTAGAAAACACTACCATCATGCTTGACAACTACGTTGAGCAGCTTTCAAAAATATTTGATAAGATATTTTAAAAGAAAATTAAATAGTATCAAAATTCCGAAAGCACTTCATCTGTAATATCTATTTATCACTTCTTTTCTCCACCCCTAGACTATTCACAAATTCTTGTTTTATAACAACAATGCACCTCTCTATTTATAGGCAACAAAAATATTCATAATTCACCTACCAAACATATAAATATATATATATATATATACTACCTCCATCCACCGCGAATCTATCCATTTACTTTTTGCATGTTAAGTTTTGAATATTAATTATTATATCAAAACGTAGTACAAATCCAGGAAAAACGACAAAAATAATTCTATTGGTGTCTTATAATACTAATGTAACGATATTTCTACAAAAAATTATACAAATATAAAAATATTTTTAATGTTAAAAACAATGATGCCAAATGCAAATAGATAGATTGACGGTGAACGGAAGTACTATATTAATTCACTTACCTATATATATATTTATTACCTATCAAAAAACCTTATATTAATTGGTTACCAAATACCTAAATATTTAATTCACCTAATGCTAATTTATTAATTAATTATATTTTTCTGTCAACTTGCTAATATACATTAATTTACTTACCAACTAATTCACCAACCTACCAAAAAAGTATAATTTTTATTAATAATATACCAACTACACACTTATTCACTAACCATGTAAATTTTCAAGTTTAACTTATCATCATATAATGTCATCCATTGATTCACCACCAGCCATGTAAACTCAATGGAATAAAAGAATAAAATTTGCACACACACTTATAAAAATGCTTTTCATTAAAATAAAGTATGCCACTTAAAAATTAATTTAATTAAAATTGCATATCATGCTTCCTTAAAATTAGATAAGACCTAAAGTGACATTTCCTTTTAATCCAAAGAGATGTTTGAAAGACTAAAGATATATGCTCATGAAACTACACAATAAAATAAATAAATCGGGGAAATACATAACCAATAAATTGATAATATAATCACCATCAAGCATCAAGTTTACTACCTGAAATTACTATATTATGTGGCAAGACATTTAGGTATTTACGTTTTGCATCTACAAAAAATTAACAAATAATCTATATATATATATACTACAAAAAAAAAAAAAAAAAACTTAATAGTGGAAAAGATATATCGAATCTATAATATATCCGTAAAAAAATAAATATAACTCCTTTTTTATAGGTAGGCTCAGATCTGAACCACGCAAGACAACATCCCTCGTAAACTAAATACAAAGAACAAACAAACACAAAGTTCTATT